GTCAGAAATAAAGCTCTTACCAGAAACCAACTGTGCTGACATCTTCTTTTCCCCAGAACTGTGAGAAATAAATTTCTGGTCTTAAACCCATCCAGTCTGTAGTATTTTGTTATAGTAAATAGAACTAAGAAATGTCCCTTCTCACTATTATTCCCTGTAGAGCTCTATCATTAAATTTAAAGAAATAACAATGACATTTTATTGAATTAACGTGTTTTCTTTTTCCCCAGGTTTTTATTGTAGCAACAAGTACATAATGTAAAATGTAATCATCATATTATTTTAAATTATATAGTCAGTGGTAAGAAATACGCTCATAATGTTGTACAACCATCACCACCGTTAATCTCCATAACTTTTTTCACGTAGTAAAGCACAAACTCTCTACTCATTAAACAACTCACCATTCTCCTTCCTCCAGCTCTGGCAGCTACCATTCTCTTTCTATCTAAGATTTTGATTCTTGAAGTATCTCCTCTTCATGGTATTCTGCAGTGTTTTGTTATGAAAATAGTTTTTTTCACTTAGCATAATGTCCTCAAGGTTATCTATCTTGTAACCTATGTCAGAATTTCTTTCCCTTAAGAGTAACATTCAGTAATATTGTCTCACATTTTGTTTATCCATTTACTCATAGATGGACACCTGATATATTTCCAAGTTATAGCTATTGTGGATATTGCCACTATGTCATGAGTACACAAATATGTCTTTGAGACCCTCCTTACAGTCATTTTGGGAATATACTCAGAAGTCAAATTGCTATATCATGTGATAATTCTGCTACAAATTTGTTCAGCGGCCACCATGCTTTTATCTGCAGTGGCTAATCTGATATTGTTGGGTACAATGTTCTGTGTAGATCTGATTGATTACTCAATTTATATGCTGTTTAAGTCCTCTCTTTTTAGCTTCTTTTCTCTCTGTTATAGTCATTATTGATGGCAGTGAGGGGGTTAAAGGTCCTGATTTTGTAGCAATGTCTATTTCACTCCTCAGTTGTCAACTTTTGCTTCAAGTATTTTAATGGTCCATTTTTAGGTGGACAGAAGTTTATACTTGTTAAATCTTTTAAAGAATGAACCTTTAAACATACAATGTCATTTTTCATCTCCTTTGCCTCTCACCTTTCTTGTCTTCCTTTGGTCTAGTATAGCCACGATTTTTGTCTGAATATAGTCACTATTACTCTCTTCCGATTACTATGTATATAGAATGTCTTTTTTCCATGCTTTCAGTTTTCAATATTTGTGTCTTTAGGTCAAAAGTTTCTGCCAGTGCATTGCTGACTAGACAGGAGATAAATTGCTAGTACTTCCTACTCATCCCTGAGTGCCCACAACAATGGTTTTGAGAAGAAATCATTATCTATTATATAGAGAGTAATGGTTACATGACATTGAAGATGCCCTTGACTTTCTAAGAAAAGCCATTCACTACAAGAGCTCTACCTGGCTCTTAATGGCTGTCTTAAAATATCATGAATAATTCTGGACATACAAGAATTGCTTTGGAGAACTTTTTTAAACTGCAAATTTTCTGGGTCTGGTTAATTGGAACCTGCAGGGAGTAGTGGTGGTCCTACAAATTCACCAGTTTGAATCTAATGCATATTGGGATACTTTACCAGTGATTAGGTTCTAAAAGCACAGGTCTGTAACCTCTCTGCTGCAGAGACAGAGAGTAGCAGACTGGTCCTGCAATAATCTGGGAACTGGGAAACATACAGCGATAAGTGCAGCCACATTCCTCACCTTAAATAGGTTCTGACAGAAGCTTCATGGGAGTCCAGTGTTCCCCATGAGCCTCATTGTTCTAAATACTGTCAAGATTTACCAGACTAGTATTGTCCCTTTAACCCTGTTATCCCTGTCTCTTACCCTGCTAAAAATCTACTCAAAGATGGACCAAAGACCTAAATATAAAACACGAAACTCTGAGAAAACTAGAAGAAATCATAGGGGAATCATCTCTAGACATTGGCACAGACAATCATTTTCTGGATAGGACATGGGGAAATAAAAAAAATTGGTGAATTAATTACACTAAACTAAAGTCCTGTATAGCAAAGGAAACCAACATAATGAAGAGACAGCCTACATAACAGGAGAAAATATTTGGCAGCTATTTGACAGAGGGTTAATATTCATAACATAGAAGAAACCAAAAAAAGCCATAACAATTAAAAGCTAATAATTTGGTTTTTTAAATAGGCAAATGACCTGAATGGGCTCTTCAACAGATGAAGTAGGAATGCTCAACAAATATGAGAAAAATGCTTAGTATCATTAACTGTTATAGAAATACAAATCAAACCTATAATGAGATACCACATCTCCCCAGTCAGAATGGCTATTATCAGAATAATAATAATAATAATAATAATAATGATAATATTATTATTAATAATAAAGGCTGAAGTGTGTGTAGACAAAAAAAAGTTCCTACACTGCTGTTGAGAATATAAGTTAGCACAGACATTATGGAGAATAGTATGCAGGTTCCTCAAAAACAAAAACCTGATGAAAGGACTAAGATTGTCCACACTATATAAATGCTACATTTCTGCTAATTTGTACTGAGAGGCTTTAGCAAGATCAGGAAGGATAAATGGGACTTACATTTCTGGCCCCTACTGACCTCTTCAGCATTTCAATTCCTATAACTCCTATGAGTATCTCCAATCCAGTAAACTCTTTTTTTTTCCCTCAGTGTTTCAACCCATAGACTTTGCTTTCTAGGAAAAATTCTACCACTTGATCTATGCCCCCACTCACCAACCCCCCCTCTTTTTTTTCTTCTTTTGATATAGGATCTTTAGAATATTGCCCACAGCTGGTATCAAATTCTGGATCTTCTGGTTTCTGCTTCTTGAGCCCTGGAATTTTAGATGAGAGCCACCACACCTGAAGCGGAAAATCCAATCTAAAAAGCCACATACTCAAATTCTATGTGCTGTCTGTGAAAGAGTGTAATATTCCTCTTAACACACATTATTTTCTCACACTCTCTCTCTCCCTCTTTCTCTGTCTCTCTCTCTCTCTCCATCTTGTGTCTCTCCCCTCCCCCATCTTTAGCTCTACATCTATCTTATTAATTCCAAACTATAGTTTAAATTTAATTTCCAGTGAATTACTCAAGAAGCATTCCTTGCCACCATCCCTGAAAATCTGTCATATCAGGTCCTTCTAATCTCTCACCCCATCTTTAACTTTGTGCACTGTCTATGGCAGTCTGGTGTTACACAGTTATCAGGGTTATTATGGTGAATTTCAGTTCCTCCCATTCAAAACTCACTTTCTGACAGATGGTCCTGAGTACCTTCTTTCTATGCTGCCCAGACCCATCCAAGTGCCTTTACCCTAGTGCAGGTTCAGACATCGTGTGTTAAGTGAATGAAGTAAGTGACATAGGTGCAATTTTAAGACATCTCGTTATCCTCCCCATCCATGGTAGAAAATTGTTTCATTTATTCACTCAACAAAGTTTTAAAAAATTCTCAAAGGGCAGAGGTCTGTAGACATTAAGTCAGAGGTAGACTTTTGCCTTAAAGTTCTTAGATGCTGGTAGGAATTAACAGATATGTATTCAAATAACTATTAAACTGGAAGGGAAACCACAAACTATTAGTAAAATTAAATGGCAGTCTTGTTTGGTGGTTATAGGAAGAAAACACTTCATGTAAGAGGACTTAGGTTCCCTCCCTGTCCTGTCTTCGTGATCCTAGGACAGCTGGATTTGAAATCCTATTGTTTTATTTGTAATCACCCAGTGTAGGAACAGCACAGAAATCCTCCAAAAGGCAAAGGGTTAAACAAAATTGTGAATTATGCAAATATGTTATATGTATGTATGAAAATAACATAATAAACCACACTAAAATCTATAAAAAGAGAGGAAGGGAAATGTGACACAATGAAGAGGTGAATGTGATCAAAGTACATTATATGCATATACAGAAATACCACAAGGAATCCCCATGTAAAATTTTACTCATGTAAAATGAGTATATGTTAATAAAAAAGAAAACAAATCAAACTGCTGTAGAGCATATTGAAACAAACTGTTGTAGAGAATATTACTGATAGAAAGAAATGAACTTGTAATTGCCCGCAACAGTATTAAATGATCACCAATTATGCTAAGTGGTAGGAAAATTCAAAAATGCAATATAGTATATGGTCCTGATTATACAACGTTCTTAAAAAGACAAAATTACAGAAATGAAGAAGGTAGGAATGGGTGCTAAGTGATAGAAAGTTGGTGGAGGCGAGAAGGCACTTGGTGTGGTGGCAAAAGGGTAATATAAACCATATATTCATATTTATATGAATATCCTGGTGGTATGGTTTGATTTGATTTGTCACCTGAGGATTCATGTGTTGTAAGCTTGATCTACAGTCTGACCATGTTGATGGTAAGATGTTTAAGAGGTGAATCCTATAGGAAGATCATCAGGTGATTGGAGTGCTGCCCTCTGAAGGGATTAAGTCTGTAGAGACCCTGATGAGTTCACACAAGAGAATTGCTACAATAGAGAAACTCTAGCCCCACTCCACTCTGTGTCACTTTCTGTCTCACCTTATGATCTCTCACACATATTCCTGCCATTTTACCATTCATTATGATATGATACAACCAAGGTGACCCTGATCAGAGACCAAATTGAGGGATCAATCTGATTTTGGACATTCAACAACCCTCCCCCAACTATGAAGAAAATAACCTCTTTACTTCATAATTTACTGACCCTCTGGTATTTTTGTAGCAGTGGAAATTGGACTAATACACTTGGTTATGATCTATTGTACTACAGTTTGGGGATATATTAGGGAGAGCTGAATAAAAGATTGATGCACTTTATATTATTTCTTACTGCATATTATGGTACCATTATTTCAAAAAGATTAATTTTAAGTAAAAAGAAGTTAACAAATTAGGAGTGAAATAGATGTGTTAATCTGTCAGTTATGTCTCAGCCTTAGAACTCTGACATCACAATGGTCAATGAACTTAACTGCCACAGCCTTCACAGACTTCAGATGCTTGTCTACAGTGCTCTTCTAAGTGCTGTAGCCATGGGCTGTGTTCAGAGTCAAAAATTGGAGGAAAGTGGAAATCCTTTTCCAATACTAAACTCTATACTCGATGCTTCACTGGGCAAGGTAGTCTTTTCCTATACTATTTTTTAGTTTGATTGTTAAAATTGTCTGGTGGTCCCAAGATTGGTTCTGTCCTATCTCCTCTCAAATATGTGAAGTAATTCTTGCCTTCAGCAGTGGTGTCATGAAAAGTTACTCATGTTCATACTATTTACTGCTGTTGAACTCAACATGATAGGCTTTGTATTATAAGGGAAACTCATCCTTGGCATCATGGGAGGTAATTTTGTACGTGTCTATGAAGATTACTTCCCAGTTAATGCATGACATTTCATGGTCTGTTCAGTCTAGTTGGTTTTAAGTTGTTCACAGAGTCCTGTTGGAAAGGCACCAAAGCTCAGGCAAAATTTGAAGAAATTTTGGATATTTCCAACATTATTTGTGGTTCTTTAGCAACTTCCCCCCATGATTTGAAATTGATATAGATAAAATGGGAATCAATTTCCTAAGTCTTCATGCTAACATTCCACCAATTTGAAACTACTTCTTCATAGGTCTTCATATTGTTCCACAAACACTGTTGCCATATTTAGCAGTGACTGTCATGTTGATGAAACCAATGTTCACTTCTCAGTAGTCAACTGCCTTGGTCTTTCTATAGCATTTGTCATGGCTTATTGCTCCCATATTTTAATACTCTCAGGACAAGCAAGTCCCAGGGGTCTGTTGTGAATCTTTTCTTCATCCCCATTACTAAGGGACCTCACTTCTTTGCTAGCTATTTAAACTGGTACTCAATGACTCCCGAATTTCAGTGATTGAGTCCTGCTTTGGGAAATAAGACAATCATTTTTAGCATACTGTCCTCTTTCAAATTTGGCATAATTAATTGTCCCTTATTTTGCCATTGATTAGCTGTTGTGTGTTGTTTAATGTATATCAGGAAGACATCTATACTGAAAGGGAAACTAAGAATGAAAAAACATCTTTGGAGGTCACGGAGAGAAAACACCTCATCCATGGCCCTGTGAAGCTGAAAAATGGCTGGCATAGGAAGAAGAGGCATCTGTTCCTATTCAGCGATGCATTACTTATATCGAATAGCAGGTACATATGCACTAAATCCTCCCCTGATTGTCACAAAATGCATTTTCAATAATATGGATTTTTACTAACTATATAAGAAATCAAAGTTTTTTGTTATTGTATGCAAATGTTTTGATTCCTCCATTATTCCACAAGCATTTGTAGAGATCCTGTTCTGTGCCCCAACAGAGAATCAATCAAGAATCAACAGAATCAGACAGACATTGTATGTGTATCTGTAATCCCAGCCCTCTGTAGGTAAAGGCAGGACTATTTTTAGTTTCAGGCAAGTCTGGGCCACATAGTGAGGAACCATCTCAAAAGAAAAAAAAAATCAAGCGAAAGGACACGCAGTGACCTTATTCCCAGGTCTTATATACAGATAAGAAACAAAAGGGAAAATTTTAGGCTTTGCTTCTAATAAGAAGACATTTCAGAAGATAAGACAGTGTTCAGACAAGGTCAACCACATGTGTCTCTATGGGCTGGTGACATTTAAACTCTACCTAAGAGATGAACAGCAGCAATCATCCTAACACCAGGCAGAGGAAGCAGCAGGCCTGAAGTGGGTTCAATTTGGCCCTCTAGAGAAAGGGGGTCATTGAAGTCCATATGTCATGTGAGCATAATAAATGGGCACAACATCAAATGGGAGATTTCAGAAGTCAGAGATCTGTTAATACAGGGTCTCCATAGGTCACAGCAAGAGGTTGGGATATTATTCTGAATTGCTAACTAGAGAAGTACCCAAAGAAGTTAATTTTTAGTGTATTGTTCTTGCTATTATTGCATAGATAATGGATGGGAGAGCAGGCAGCATTGGAAGTAAGCAAACAGTCAGGTGAGGCAGTATTCTTGATCACCAGGGGATAATATTCCTGATTTTCTGTCTTGGGCATGACACTGGCTATGAAAGACGCAGGCGATAAGTTAACCACCTGGGCACACTGTCATTTCTATACTGAACACAAATACCCAGCCTAAAACATGGTGATTACTTAGTTGTCTGAAGACAGGGAAATGGAAAGAATTGACTGGCCTGGTCATCTATTTACCTGTCTACTCTCTTTTCATTATTTCTCACATATCATGAAAGACAAAAGAAATCTCATCCAGAAGCCCTTTAGTCCCTCTGGAAAAACAATTTCCCCTACTGCCCTTCTACTGCCTTTCAGCTCTGTTATATTATAGGAAAGACATGAAAGATAGTGTATGGAATTTGTAAAATGCTTTATTTCGTCTAAGTGACACTAATAGGTATGATTCACCAGGGGCATATTTCCTGTGATGTATTATACTAAGCCAAACTGTTTAGACAAATATAACAATATTAAGGGATGTGTAGGATGAAAGAAATAGCTTTCAGACATTGTACAGGTGGCAATGTTATAACGGAGACAGAAAGACCACATAGGCCCTGGCAGGAGGTCCTGGGTAAATTTCCTGACAGAGCCTGACATAGGACAAGTCTTAAATCATTAGGCTACTTGCATTCACCTTATTATCAAGGTAAAATCACTGTGGGGACCATATTAGGACTGCTCCAGCAGCGGCTTCTGCGGCAGTTTTCCCGCCAGACATTTCAAAAATAACGGCACAGCTCCGCCCTCGGCCGCTGCGCATGCGCGAAGCGCCTCCCAGCCCCGCCCCACACAGCCTTCCTGCGCTCCCCTGTGTCCCCCACCCACCTGTAGCAGCCCTCTGCGCAGGCGCAGGGTGGACATTGGCACTTGCTTCAGGGTTGTGAAGTGCTGCAGGTGTCTGTTGGAAGGCAGGTTTTTAGATAGGAAAACAGGCTGAGAAAGGCTCAGTCAATGGTCCCAATTCAGGCCCTGGGAAATTGCAGGAAGTCACTCAAGTCCAGGTCACCTCATCCAAACTTGAAGCCTCCTCTGTCTGTCTGTGCCCAGTCTGACAGATAAACTACCACAGTGCTCAATCTTGGCTTCTTAGGAACTTGCAGACCACTCACATTCTATTCTTAAACAGAGCATATTTTTCTCCTTTTTATTAAGCTTTGTAATTATGAGAGTATTTAGGGAGAGTACACCTTGCATTTCCTACCAGAGGCCATTTATTTTCTTGAATACTGCTGATCCCTTGAGTTTACAAAACTTAGTGCTCTTCGGAAACCTTTCATATAAAGACTATGTCCTTTCAGTTAGAAAATTCGTTTACTCAAGAACTGAATTTTTATTTTGATTGGCCAATTATCCTTAAAGATGTGCAACATTTTTCATTTTTCACATACTGTTTTTGAAATCATCTAGTGCATTCACTGAAAGGCTTTTCATAATGTTATTAAATTTATATCCATTTACTTATTCCTTGTTTCAAAGACTCAGTTCTTAAAAGAAGATTTTCTGCCAGGCTCCAGTGGCTCACATCTTAATCTTAGCTTCTTGGAAGTTTGTGAGGACCACGGTTTCTGGTCAACTTGAGCAAAACCTTTGTGAAATTCCATGTCCAATACTAGTTAGGTGCAGTGTCTGACCCCTTTCATGCTTCTAGCCATGGCAGGAAGCATAAAAAGATAATGGTCCTACTTGGCTTGGGCACCAAACAAGAGTGCTCTCAAAGTAATCAGAGCAAAATGGGTGAGAGATGGTGAACAAGGGGTAGAGCACTTGCCTACCTAGCCAGAAGTCCTGAGGTCAAAACTTGTACCACCAAAAAATGACTAATATTTTATGTATTCTCTGCATGCATTTGTAATATTAGAAACTATAAGTGATTTCATGCATTTGAAACAAGTTTATAATTGCAAGGCCCTTATGATCCAGAAAACACAGAATTATTTTTGAGACGATAGCTATCAGAACCGAATGCAGCTAATACTAGCATTTATCACAATGTTTATGAAAGTAGCCATAATTATTTTCATTTCAGTATGTTCATGATCACCATTAATATGACAAAATATGTTTTTGAGAAAAACATCTACTCAGTCTCTGCAATAACAAACACTTTTTTCTCTTATGTGTTCCCCTTTGAGAAAGCATGTGTTGTGACCTCAATCAATTCCTTCAAGTTAATGATCAGAATTTAGTGGCTTGTTTCCTTACTTATCCACACACAGACTCAGTTCTTAAAAGAACTGATTTGTGTTCCATTTTACCTCGGCTCACCTCAGGCTTCATTTGGAAACACTATTGAGATTGATGAGGCAGTAACCGACTCAAGTGAAATAAAGACTTGATCAATTGCCCCATGTATTTTGTGGAAATGAGAGAATTTCACTTTGTGTGCAGGGATTCAAGGGAATTTAAATGTTTGTTTGCTTACAAGGCATTATATTGGCTCCACTTGTGCAGCATGTTAATAGAATGTATTAGTATGAGGTTATTGTAATTTTTAATGAAGAAAAGAGTTTGAGTTAGCTCACGAGATTGTCATTGTTTTAATAGTTTAGGTTGAGGAAACAACCTTATCCAAAATACTTGTGACCAGAAATGTTTTGGTTTGGGGATTTTTTGTTTTCAGTTTTGGAAATTTCAATACACACTCAAGGTATCTTAGGGATGAGATTCAAATCTAAATGTGAAATTCCTTTACATTTCACATAGAACTAATAGATGTAGCATGAAGACAATTTTATATTACATGCCTTTATTTTTATTTTGACATGTCACATGACATCATGTGTGGAATTTTCTACTCATGGTATCATATTGGTGGTTATAAAGGTTTGCATTTCAGAGCATTTCAAATTTTTAATTTTTTGATGTGGGACTCTCAACCTGTACATTAGAAAATTTTGTTCCCTTGAAGATGGAACCTTCATGACCACTTTAGATATTCATTAGAACACTAGATAGGACAAGATTCTTTTCACTTCAACTCACTTGTTATTTTTAAAACATAATCTGCTTTATAACTATTAAGATACTAATAGTATTAGAGTCTCACGAAGTATTTACAAAGGGAGAAGACCATATACATATTGAGTATGCATCATTCACATGGAAGTCCGTGTAGTCTCTGCTGTGATTTGCCTTGTTCTATTTTTTTTGTTCTCTGTTTTTTAAGTTGGGTTCAGGTTGTAGGCTATGGCTTTTCAGCATAAACAGAAACAATGGGAAAATAATATGAAGAAAATCTTAATTAGATAGGTAATGTAAAATACTCTGTTTGCTAATGGTAATAAATGTTATATGAACTAAGACTGAAATGTATTTTAAAACCCCTGAATACAAGGATAAATATATTTCTAGCCCTGTCTGTCATATGTAAAAAATTGTTTTCAGAAATCATACTCTTTGGAATCTTTATTTAGCCCCTGAAATTCTTTTGAAACAAGACAGAGAAATTAAATAAACTAATGGTTCTCTAAAAATATCTTTAAGTTACAGAGTATGATGCTTGATCAATACTTAACATCAAGAGAAACAGTGCGGACAGGTCTTTACCTGTTTGTTCAGTGCTTCCTGGGTTAGGCTTCACCCACCTGACCCTTGGTTGAGCCCCATCTAGCTTATCACTGAGCAGTCCCTAAGACTGCTAGAGATGGAATGGTCATGCCTAGTTCTAGAATAGGGAGAATTAGTGTCTTCCCATGATCACAGCTGTTCCCACATTTAAGACATAAATAAAGGCTGTGCTTGATTATCTTTCTAGATATAAGAAAATCTTCAAGGTCGAACACATAATCCCGGTGCAGAACCTATGGATGGACAAAGTGGAGGAAGGCCACAACAGTGCCAAGAAGTCCTTTTACTTGGGGTGGCCCATGGAGAACTTCAGGGCCACCTTCCCGTAAGACCCACAACCTGGCCTTGTGTTTACTGGTTACCTGTGACAAGATACAATCACTTTTATATTGTCTAGCACAGAAAAGTGCAATTAAAGTTTTCCCACAAATTATTTAACACAGGAAAATATTTTAATCTGGTTACATATTAAGCTGTGAGCTCATAAGATCCTTTGTTTGCCTTGCATTTTCCCCTAAAAGATTTGTGCTTGTCAATATATGCAAGGGAATCAATAGTCAAAAAAGTTTTCACCAGTGGTTTTTCATTAGAGCTCCAGAACCTGTACGGGTAGGTGGGTGATTGGGGACTGGGGAGAGAAACTAGGGATCAAGGGACTAGGCCTCTTTTCTAATATCCTCTCTCTATAATGATCAGGTATTATCTGTGAAGAAAGTAGATCTTTCCTCAACAAGGATTATTGAATAGTCCAATTAAGTGTGAAAAATTCATTTTGTTTTCTCAAATTAGATCCTCAAAGAAATAATATTTAATGACACAAATAAAAACAATCATGCCATCAAATACTGGGATGCCTTTCTGACTGTGTGACAGATTATCATATTTATTGTTAATAGACAATATACATCATATGTGGTACCATTAGACAATCTGAAATAGTGGTTTATTCATGCAATTCAGATTACTTTTCCAACACATTCTTACACTGACATGAAAATGAGAATTTGGTTGTCTACCTAGCCATCTTCAGCTCATACTCTTTAATTCACAGAGATTTCACAACACAGGTCTGATGCTCTAAACAGCTGCACACCAAGTTTCATACATATTTTACACATGGATGGTTCATCTCAGGCACTCAACATCTTTACTGACCTCACCCCTGTCTGCCAAAGCATCATGCACCATCCAAAGATTGAGACAACTAGCTGTTGCCTTATCTGTTTGCTATTGTTAGGCTGCTTCAAATTGGCATAATTAGAAGTGATCCCCATGCACATAGGCAAGTTAGGGGCTGTGTGGGTGCTCCATACTCCTAATGAAACAGGTCCCAGTAGCAGACAGCTGCAAAGTGAAGGAGCTGCTGCTGTTGGGAATAAGATAATATGACAAATACAAAATTAATGTGAGTTTACTAAAAAGTCATTCATGTTTCAATTTCATGTTAGTTTTTAAAATAGCTAAAATGTGATTCAATCCATATATGAATTCTTATTTAAAATATTTTAAACATTTAATACAGCTTGCAAAATAGAAAAAGGAGATTACTAATCTTTAGCAACTTAGCTACAGGTGAATTGATATTGGTCAGTGGATCACACTAATGAAGCATGATTTTCTAAGAAGAAACATTTGTATAAAGAAATAAAACATTGTGGACTTTTGTCCTGTAAAATTTATATGTTTCCGATGCAAGGTAGTCCATTAAAAGGACAAAATTTCTAGGGGAAACAGGTACTAGAGAAAAGGTTAGATTCAAAAAGAATTAACCTAGAAGGGTAACACCCACCCACAGGAAATTCAATATGAGTCAATGCCCTGTATAGCTATCCTTATCTCAACCAGCAAAAAAAACCCTTGTCCCTTCCTGTTTACTGCTTATACTCTCTCTACAACAAAATTAGAAATTAAGGGCAAAATAGTTTCTGCTGGGTATTGAGGGGGGGAGAGGAGTGGGGTGGAGTGACGTGGTAAGGGGAGTTGTGGGGAAAGGAGAAATGAACCAAGCCTTGTATTACACATATGAATAATAAAGAAAAATGAAAAAAAAAAGTTTAAGACCAGCCTGGGCAAAAAGCAAGACCAAATCTCAAAATAAATACCTATCACAAAAAAAATAAAATAAAATAAAAATAAAAGACAAATTCTTAAGTATGATTGAATCTGAACAAAGTATTTTTTATGTTCAATAGTACTTCAAGCGTCCTGAGGTTTAATTACCCCTCCTTTCATCAGTGGTGGAAACTGAAGCTGCTTAGAGCAGTTATGGATGATGGCTGTGGCCATATAACTTCCAGGCACAGTGCAATCCAGTGTTTAAATCCTAAACCAACATCTCTTCCAACATAAACATCCACTTCCCATAACTGGAAGCATCCACCTGTAAAGAGCAGAGCCCTTAATCCATTTATCAGCAGGATCCTACTCTCACCTGTACACACAGCAGTAACAATGGTTCCTAATATTTTTATGTGAAAATGATGATCTTTAAAATCTTAGCATTAAATATTTATATGTTTACTTTTTCTCACTTTTTAATATTGTAGCTCTTCGGAACAAAAAGAAAAATGGCACTCATTCCTTGAAAGGTATTTTGCTAGTGTACATATCTGAATTTTTTAATTTGTAATAAAGAGAAGGAATGTCCCTCAAAGCCCAGTCCCCCAAACTGTTCCACTTTTTCTTCACAGCAATTACTAGACTAGCCTCAAGTAAATTCTTACTTGCTCTACCCCTGGCTGCTACATAGAAGTGTTCTCAAGTTGATGTATTGCTTTTGATATTTGAAGAAAGTTTTGTTACCACTCACACTGTTACCCTTTTATTCTCTTATTAAAACCTTTATATTGCATTTAGCCAATGTTATTCTTGAAACATACCACTAAATTCCACAAACATATTGTTAGTTATCACTGAGAAAATTCAAAGATAGTGCAGCTTCCTACCTTTGGATCCAGGAAGGTGTACTATTGCATCCAGGAAAGAATGCTTAAGACGGATTTTCTTCTCAAATGTCACATCACAGGGAAAAACTGATATCTACTGGGGTACATCTCATTTTCCGAAATTTTGCTTATTTTCAAACACATAATGATCTGGCTGAATTTCCATAATAAAATAAAGAATAATTTTAACAACATATGTTGATTAGAAAATAAGCAACTAGCTAATTCATATTACTATTTGTATCGAATCTCTAGAAACATCAGTCTAATAAAAGAGAAGGACCACCAGAAGAGTGTTGAGCTCCAGATTTTCATCAAAGACATCCAGCACTCTGTAAGTTTTTTTCAGACCAAAAAGAAAATTTCAAGTTCCTGACTTAGACATAATGACAGAGAGGAGGAGGGAGGGAGGGAACAGAGAGAGAGAGAGAGAGAGAGAGAGAGAATTTATCAAGTATCACATGGAATCTTTCCTTAGGAAAGCATTTAGTTACACTTATTTTTGAAGGTCAGTTACATACACCATGGCTCTCTATCCTTAAATACTTATGTATTTCATTAGAATGAGGATTTTCTTGTTTGTAACTCCCATTCTGCAACTTCAGCAAATTCAATATTGTTTTTATATATGATATGTGATATAGATTTGATATAATATGTGTATGTGTTTGTACAGTGCTGGTGTTTGAGTTCAGGGCCTCATGCATGCTAGACAAATGCTTTATGACTAACATAGTTCCCCAGCCAATATAAAATTTTATCAACTATTCCTCTTCCAATTTTTTTGTTCACCCCAATAGTATTCCCTTTTCCAGGACAGAGTAAGTCATTGCATATAACAATTATTTCATATGCAGTTTTGATAGGTCTTTCATTCTTAAAAACATCAAGATTCAATAGAGCCAGCTAAGAAGGATGAAACTTTGAAGGGATCAGGATATATCTACCTCATCTTTTTAATATTATTGAGAAAAATCCTGTACCTTCAATAGTACATAGCATTTAATTTCTAAAATTATATACAGTAGCCAGGATGTTCACAATGATGAGTAAACTATTCTAGGTATTTTTATGTTCCTTAGTTCTGTACAGTGGTTCTAAATTGCACAAGATAGTATTGAAAGAGGAAAAGGATAGTACCAGTAGAAAGCCAAAAGATTGTTCTGACCTTTTTAATGCACCAAATGAATTGTGGATAGTTCTCATGTAAGGAAGCACATGTTTGTCTCTCTGCTTGATTTCAGTGGTGACAAGTGGTTACATTTAGAATTTGTCATGGAAAACTTCTTGACATTTTAAAAAGTCAACTATACTTAGGTCCAATTTACGAAACAATAAACATTTTGAGTGCACTGGTTTTTATCTCATAATATGAAGATCTAAATCATCTTGTGCATGGCAGCCCATCCAAATGGGAAAAAGCCACATTTCCATATTCGCAAATGTTTTAATAAATATTTTTAAAACTTTATTTGTTGTTGGGTGCTAGTGGCACATGTCTGTAATCTTAGCTACTTGGTAGACTGAGATCAGGAGGACTGCAATTTGAGGCCATTGCAGGCAAAATGTTAATAAGACCATATTTCAAGTAATAGCTGAACATGGTGACATGTGCTGGTTTTCCCAGCTAGGTGGGCAGCTGTGATCAGGAGGATTGTGGTTCCAGGCTAGTCTAGGGGAAAGAAAAAGTTTTTGAAGGCCTATTTCAACAGAAGAAAAGATCAGCATGGTAACACATGCCTGTCATCTCAACAATAGCAGAGGCATAAAATGGGAGGATTACAGTTCACTTGGTCCTGGACAGACATTGAGAACCTATCTCTGAGATAACCAGAGCAAAAAGGTCTGGAGACCTGATTCATGTGGCGGAGTGCCGGTCTAGCAAATGTGAAACCCTGAGTTCAAACCTCAGCATCAAAAAAAAAAAAAAAATCACTTAAATTCTTTTTTTTTTTAAAAAGAGCTTTGACTAGACAAATTTACCCATTTTGTCTACAAGAACACAATCTAGAATAAATACAAATATTATTGGATTATTATTTTTACTTACCCTGTTCCAGCTTTCATGAACACACACTGTTTTGCAAACCATATAAATTAGAAAATGATTAGCATTATAAAGAGATTTTTTTCTCCGTAAAACATTTAATGATGGAATTTTAAAATTATAAGGGAGACTTTCCTGACATATTAAAAAGTGCAGAATCTTTACTTCTAACTAAATTTGAAGCTAAAGCTCAATTGTACTCTCTAGCTATTATAGCATAAAAAACTGACTTCTCACAGTTTTGTTGCTCTAAGCCATACTTTTGGGTTCTCAGAAAAAAATTTCACAATTCTTAGGCTGTAAGAATGAATTTAATTTAACACTATTTGTTTATAAATGTCCAATGAATCCTGGCCAGACTTGGTGGATAGCCTGTATTCATAGATATTTATAAGCCAGAAATTGGAAGCATTGTGGTTCAAGGCTTGGCTGGGCAAAAAAAAAAAAAATGTGAGAGCACTTTCAGAGCCAACTTTCTTGTCAGCCAATTAGTCCATAATAAAATAAAACACAATGAATTACAAAAGAGTTTCCATAAATTCATTTTAGTACCATTTAAAAGCCTATGGGTGCCAACCTATGCTGTTTGTCTTTTTAACCAGCCTTTTGGTATGTAGCTCAGACTGTCCTCAAACTCACAATCCTTTCGCCTTAGGCTTTGGAATGCTGGCTTTCGAGAGTGTGACACCATGTCCAGCCATGGACATGGCTTATCATGCCATGTCCATGTATCATGCTTATCAGATGATACAAAACTCACTGTGGATTTATATGTTACAAACTCTACATGCAGAGTATTTTTCTTATTTTATGATAATGTGTTTTGAAATTCAGATGGTTCAATGGTATCAACTCAGAATTCCTTTAATTATTTTCAGATTTTCTAGAAATTGTCTTTCTATTTTTATAGAGTATATCTGAATGTAATATGTAGGAGAAATGATTTAATTCAGTGGCAGATGGGAATGGAGGAAAATATGAAAGATTTCATTTTTGATTTTTAGATTATTTTAATAAATACCAAAAATGAAAATCTAACAAACTCTGCAAAGAAACTGCTCTCTCCATTGTGGTTTTTTGAAAATGTCCTTAATAGACAGGTTTTTTTTTGGATTTTAGTGGAACTGAATACATAACTTGCAAAGGAATAATGCCATAATATCAAAACACAAATTGGGAACACAAGGAAAAGGATTCAGCTCCCCCTTTTGAAACCATTGGCCCAAGATTATGGAAGTAACCTCACAGTGCTCAAGACCAGTCCCCATGCCCTCTTTGAATACTGAAATTTTCTCTTCCTTAACAAAGATGTTATATTTCAAATCCTTTATTTGAAAAGAAATGTGTTATACTGAAATGCTCCCTAGTGACTTTCTGTTATATAAGGGACTGAAAAACATTTATCAAGTGTTTGTGTTCTGCATGTGCTTTATGAAGTCATCACTTGAAAGCAAGCTTTGTGTTGAATATGGATAATAATTTGACAATAAGTATGTAATCACATGCTTTGGAATTTTTAATTTATAGCATTTTTCTCATTTATTTTTCATAGCCTGTTGCTGTCACTGCATCAAGTACTGATACAGTGAATGATATTATCAAGAAAACACTTTCAATGCTAGGAATAAGTGTAAGTTACTTACAAGCAATTTTTAAATTGAAAGAAACTTAGATTTTTGAGATTCATAAATTTGTTTTTATGTATACATATACATAAATATCATCATATGATATTTGATTATTATAGATATCAATGTCAAGTGTTGTCCCAACCTCACTTTTAGGAACTGAAGGCAGCTATGAAATAAGATTAGTCTATATATGAGGACTGTTCTTGCAGTCTCATTTTAACTTTCATGCCAATTGAAAGTCATAGCATAATGAATTGTGCTATATCTGTAGAAAACTAATAACAAGCATTTTGATTTTATAGATTATAAGCATATACAATAAAACTTGTATGAGATTTGTAATAGAAAGTTCTCACCTCCTTCATTAGAGTGTTCTTTTTGTATCATCTTTTCCGTTTTCTCCTTTCCCATACCTGTTTACTCAGATTCTCACCAGAAGACACAATCTGAATGTGATGAAACCTACAGTACACGTTTTATTATACATTTTTACATAAAGAATATGTGGCTAGGAGCCATGTTCACTGGATATTGGTCCCAAGAATTAGATAGCTGATACCTTTAAATAACTGATAAAGAGAGAAACAAGTTTGGATGAGACCATGGACTTGGGGGCATTTGTGTGTGCACCACTTTCATCCTGTTGCTTTTAGGTGTCTATTGCTTTATGTTTTGATGGTGCTGGAATGTGCAACTAAGCACTTTTGGTAGAAAAGGTGCACATATTTGAGGATAAGGCTGGAAAAGAGGAGGAAGATACAACTCAGTTTTATTAAATTAAATGACTTGTGGACCAATAGGAAGTGAAAAAAGCATGGGCTAACATGGTTGCTTATATAAAATTCTCATTGTGAAAATTCCTTGATATTGTGACACATCTCTAAGATTTGTATTTAAATTTGACTGGGTGGTATAATCAAGTCCCTTAGAAACTCAGGGTAGCCAGAATTTGGAATAATAAATAAACCATTTTTATAGGAGTAGAATTTATTAATACATTGAAAAAGAGCCAAATTTATAACTTCTTAGTAAAGCAGACACCTCCACACTAATTTCTATCTGTAGGATGTAATCTGCATAAAATTAAATCTTGGAAGACAATGAGTAGTTTTAGGGACAGAGTGGAGAGAGTCAATTAAAATACAATTCATTTAGTTAATATTTGTGAATTTCCTTTGCTTAACAGCTCACTACAAATGAAAGAATTTCTATTTTAATATAAGAATAGAGGTTATTTGGTTATGTATGTGTGCCTGATGTAAGTGACTTCAACAACAAATATCCAACGCCTGTCTTATAAGAAAATATGTTTTATGAGGTCTTACTTCCTATTTGCCACGCAGTACTGAGCTGATGTAGCATGCTCATATGTGTACTTTTCACCAATATCTCCACTTGCAACATGTTTATGCTTTAACTCCTCCTTTAGTACTCCAAAATAATTCAATGGAATGTATGTAACCTAGGTTTTTTTAAGTAGAATTTCAATATTGTTGGCCAATAGTTCTGCTGGCCCATTTCCCAGGTAGAGTTCCTATAAAGCTTCTCCCCCCAGGATAGGGCTGCTCTGACTAAAAGTTAACAGCTACTTCCCTCTGACATCTTCTGAAGGTCTCTTGAGCATCTGTCTCTTTTGCCCAGAGTTGGTTAGCTTGCAATGACTTCTAAGTTTTACTTTGCTCAGGTGTAGTCATGGCATGTGTTTGGCTCTCTGAGCAACAAGTTTGTCTGTAGAGGGACATGTGGAGGCAAAACCCAACATTCTCCTCAAACAGTGGCGATATCAGAAAGAAGGACACTGGGGATTAGACTTTCCATCCTTATTGAAGGAGCATGAGCTTGATTTCTTATTCCCTGGGTAACTCAGAAACTGATGGCTTGGTTGCATTGTGGAGAGTAGATCCATGGTCCTTCAGAAGCCATGAGGCAAGAATCTGGAGCAATCAACTGGAGGCTTGAAAGTACACAGAAATTACTAAAATCAGTACTGTTGAAACTGTGGCCACCACATGCATACAATTGCAATTATACTGAAACAAATTCCTTTCCTTTTTAGAAACACATAATTGTTGAGGAACTGTGTTCTTTAAGAATCTATTGTCAATGATTTTTTGTGATCCTTAGTTGTTTTGTCTCCCAGGGCTGTGAGAAGGAGTACCTGCTGTCCTTCATTTCTGGAAAGGAAGAAGCCCCATTCACACTCATTGGTAAATGTCAAGAAAAATCTAAAATATGATTGATTGGGTTCAAAGTTGTACCTCTTAGTCTCAAAGTATTGATTGTTCTCTGACACTTAAATACCTCTTGTACATTTAAGAAATAATTACCTAGCACTTACTCTATAATGGTACCTGGAAACATCTCCTTACTCAAAAATTTCTGGTATAGTTGAACAGAAAAATATGAAGCTTTCTTCTGATTTTTCACACAAAGAATGTTTTCTTAAAAAACAAGAACAGAACTATTTTGGCTAAGAAATTTAAATTAAATTGCAAATTCCTTATCCCTATTGTTCCTGTTCAGTAAAAATCCACTGTCCCTTTTTCTACAGACTAGGAGCCTCTATTTTGTAAGGACCTTCTAAAATTCAGCCAGGATTGTAAATCCACATACAAATATTTAACTGACACAAGCTCTATTGTCAGGACTTTTCTCAGCATAAATGGAAAAGGAGATAATCAGGTTCCCAATGGCTTCCCTGACTGATCATCCTGAATTTATCATTTATTAGGTTGCATTTTCCAGCAGGTCTTTTCATATATACTGATAGTCTACTCATCTTTAAAATAGTCATTAGAACAAATTAGCTGGAAACAAAATTCATAGGCCATCAAGTGTGGTTGAAGAAACAAAACCATTCCAGCATAGGAAGGGCCAGACAAATAGTGTATGCTGTAGTGAAAAGGAGATGATTTCTGACGAAAATCATAGAGCACTCTTCTTTTTAATAATGTAGACACTACTATATAATTAGGACAATGAAATACGTTGGAGAACGATATATTGAAAACATATTTACCTTAATATAATATATTAATTTGATAAGTAACATTGTCTCACTGATAATTTTAAGGATGGGAAAACCTTCACATATGGCTGGCTCTGAAGAACTCTAAGACCCCAGTATTCATGAGGACCCATTATCAGCTTTTCTGATTCTGTACTTTTGATGTAACCTCAGTTCTCAAGTGTGAGTCAACTGTTGGTCATCCTGACGCCTTGGCTTTATTACATTGATGCCAGAGGCATTTCTTTTATTCTAAAAATCAGAAGTTTCCATATTTCTTGTTCTGAATGCAGCTTCGACTTGTATCTGCCAGATGGAAAGGAAAAGCAAGAGGTCACCAAGTAACATCAGTAAAAAATGTGAGGAATTAATGAATGGGAGCTTATATGCTCTTCCTAGATACTGAAATTCAATTCTCATTACAATACCTTTGAGAATTCTTTGTAAAAGAAGTAATTCAAAGGATGAAAGAGCAAAACAAGTCACTAGCCATGCCACTCCTGATGACTCTGGGTATGGTTTCCCTCCTTGCAGTGTTTTGCACATTGTTTTTGATTTCTAATACCCTGCAGTCTTCTTTCTACTCCCTTTCTGTGAGGAAACACCAGAAATACAACAGTGGGAGAGAAAGATGAGGAAAACCTGTCCACTACTCAGGAGTAGCCTTGACTTGAGAACTGACGAGGGAAATAAAATATCCTTAGATAAAACTGACATCATGTATAACAAAATGCTAATCTTAGCAATTATTGGCATGTATAGTTCAATTATTAAAGAATATTAGTAGCTAATGTCCATCAATATATTTTCTTACATCTTTATAAGTCTCTGCAATCGGGATGACAGATGTGTAAAATGATGACTACAAGGTTAGAGGAGTCAAGCAAAATGCCTAAGATATCAAAACCTGTGTGATGTCAATGCAGGAACTAGAAGGCCTTAAATAGTCTTAGATGGGAACATAGCAAAAGTCACCATTAAACAATGCAGTGGTGAATCTATGCATTCCAAGCAAGGCAAAATATTTGAGTTTTTAAAAATATCTTTATTAAACTCCTGTGCTTTGGCTCCTGGTTTTGAATGGTCTCCTCAGTGAGTGTGCATAATTCATGCAGGAAACATAGCCTTCTTCACTCCATAGGCCCCAAGAGAACGATGCTCATATCACTGTTCATGAGCTCAGCAAAAGGTAAATTTGATCACAACCATCACCATCAGTTTGAATCAATATTTTAATTTTCTCCACATAGGACATGAGTATCCGTACACTATTAAAATGAACCATCTCAGATATAAGGTGTCTATGCCGCAAGGACCAAGAAAGTTAACCTCTCAGACCCTCCAGGATTCCTTCCAGGAGCAGATGTCCCCAGATCTGGAAGGATATTTTTTTCTTCAGCCAAAGCACCCACCCAAAGGCAAGTAGGGGAACAGTGAGTACCTCCTTCCCATCTTTCGAGTGCCATCTCTTAGCTCACACCTCCATTTCTGACCAACAAAATCCATGACACATAATTATTCTCCCTATGGCAGAAGATGATATATGCAGGAACTGAGTACTCACTCAGAATCAGGCTTAGAATGCCTATAAAGACTGAAGTTAAGACCCAAGTCTTGTCTAGGAGGATTTTTTTCATTCCTCCTCAGAGATAATTGCTCTCTTATCTGTTTTCCCAGAGCACTTTAGACTTTAATGAGACATTTGTGTGTCTCAATACAGGATGGTCTTTGAGTTCTGGAGTCTCATATCTTACCCACCCCACGTGCCATTATCTGGGATGAGAGTAGTCATGACTGCATGACTTAGACACACTTGGAACTGATGGTCTTGAGCAAAGTATTATGGTTTTACATGGACTCTCTCCTTTATCTGGAGTGCCTTTTACTCTAGAACTCTACTCCATGGCAAGTTTGCACTGTACAGATAGAATTGTAGAGAACTTTATCAATTCAGGGACTTTTTATTCATCCTTCTTACCAGTTTTTTCCTCTAATGTTACAATGTTCTCCCACTGATATTTCTTTCTCTGATACAAATATGTTATTAATTTGGGATATATTTTGGCTGGAAAAGAGTTTCTTCTTATTTTACTGTTGCCATTGTTATTCTGTAAGCTCACAGCTTATAATTTTTACATTTTCTCATACCCTAATTCATTCTGGGACACTTTAAAACAGGTTGCTTTATCACCCTAAATTTTCATGGCACCCACATAAACATTCATTCATAATATGATATTTCCCATCAAATAACATACATCATAAAAGGTCTGACTAAATTTGAAAATATTTTTGAGAATATATTGGACTCGGTGTTCACTTTGCTTTCAGTCTTTTCTCATAGAATAGCTTGCACATACAGCTTTATATCAAGGGACGGGGCATTATTACTATCATTTTTCAAATTAAGACTAGGTAATAGAATATATTTGGGTAATTTTTGAAATAATAAAATCAGAGAAATCAAGTTGAATACCATAATTTAACTTGTGTATTTACATTCATAGTCATCAAATTTGTACATATTGTCATCCAGGAATATCCTCCAGGATTGAAGAATGTGTGTGCTTTCTTCTTATCTACATTTTGAATTGGTGGGAGTGTGTACAACAGATAGAGAGTTAATTTTGATTCAGTTAGAGGCTGCTAACTGAAATGAAGAGAAGTAGAGCTTGTTTTGTGGGGAGATGACTGTTTCCTAGGCTGCCTTAAACTATCTGAGTGAGGGATAAAGTAAACCTCATCAAGAGTGCTATGAATCATGCCTTGTTCTGAGGAGTGCACTAGTCCAATGAGGTATAGATGGTATCATACCTGCAGGTTAAATCAAGGAATTAAATCAAAAGGACATTTTATTAAATATTCCAAGTAAGTGGCAGAGTCAGAAACCCACAGTGGCATCACTGGCATCTCTGTTTCAGCCCCACAAGCATTGCCCCTGTGTTTATAGAAAAGCCAAGTGAGCAGTTATTTAAAGATTTGTGGTCAAATGTCAATATTCTTGCAAATCTTGGCTCATCTGTCATCTTTCTAAATGTTTGGTACATGCTATTTATTTAATAAACTATGAATGTGCCATGATTGGGAAAACATTCATAGCTCAGGAGTAGAAACTTTGGACTCAGTTTTGAACACAGACTACCTGATGAAGTGACCAGAGGCTGACTGAGGATTGACTCAGGCAGGCTGTTTCATTAAGGCTATTCCCTTGATGGGATAGACTTGACCATGGTTGCATGTTTGGGAAGTAAACAGAAGGAGTTTTGCTTTGAAAGTAGCACATTATAAGACAACTGCAGTTGGATACCAAATAGTTTTATCTTTCAAAATGGGATATGGCATGTCAATTCAGGGATCATATTTACCCTCCAGAATCTTGTCCAACTAGGTGTTAATGGTCTGATTATACCATACCATAGACCAGAGACAAATCTGTCTAGGATACATTCACATGGAAAGAACTAAACTGAGTCTGATCAGGCCACTAGGTCTAACCATCAGTTAACTGGTTTTGATAAAGAAGAATATATTAACACTACAAGGCAATGAACCAATTTCAGAAGGTCGTACAGTTACAGTACAAATGGCTCAGTTCCTCTACTATGCACTGCACCTAGCACACTAAAAAAGGAAAATGGTGGGAACAAGGTGAAAGGAATGACACATTAAATGCAATAATCTCCCTTCTTCCTCTACTTCAGAGCCAACCACAGATAAAAGAAGATGCCTTTTCATGAATTGTATATCTCATCGGCATTCTAGATCCTGCCACAATATTTTTTGGGAAGCCCCACCACCTGCAAGGACAGGACTACATGTCAGAACTTCTCCCACGGGTATTTATGAGAATAACAGTCCATCATTTACAATTCTGGGGAAAAGAGCTTGTTGTTACATATTATGTTTAAAAGTTTACTGCCCTACAGAAGCAAATTCTGTTCATGATCTAAAGATTTAAGTGAAAAAACTCCTGATAAAAGCCTGAAAGTATTAGGTTTATGGGACATGTGTATCATTTCCCAGAAAGATCCCAAACGGAAGCAAGAATCCCTCACACATGAAAAGGCAAATGAAGTGTCTAAGAAAAATGGACCCTTGCACTTTCAAGACAGGACAGTTCAACAAAGACTGACTTTCTATAAATTGAGTTTGTTTCATCACCTCATATTTTTTAATGCAAGAACATACACCTATTTCAAGGCAAGAACCTACACTTTCATTGGTCACATAGAGAACATGAATTCTCATATCAAAAAAGATACATCACAAAAGACCCAGCTGAGTCTCAAAATATAATTTGGAAAGTACCAGACTCAATGGTACTGAATAATTTTCCTCACTGAATTGCAACACATAATAGCTTTGTATCAAGGGACAGAGCATTCTCAATTTTCCCACTGAAGCAAAATACAGAATAATTTGGGCAATTTTACACATAATAAAATCAGAACAATAAGACAGAATACAATTCAACATGCATATTTACATGCACAGTAATCCAACATTTGCTCATGTTAAGAACATCCATCCTCCAGAATTTAAGAAGGTGTTTCTTTTTTCTCACCTTATGAATTGTTTGTGGTGTAAAGTCATGTAGAGAGGAGGCATTGTCTAAAGGCTATTTATTCAATGAATGGTATAAATTACAAATTATGTTTGTAATAAATGAAGACTTTTTTTCAAATACTCCTTTCCTTCACCATTCACCCCTTAAGAAAGGCAGGGACTTGCTTCAGAGAATTTATCATACCAAGGAAATGTAAATTTGATTGCCAGTTATTACAAATTAATTTTCAAGAAAATTACTAACATAGGGCAACAAAATCTCTTCATGGCCTAAAGATTTATGTGAAAACCTCATGATGAAATACTGAAAGCATTAGGGTTATGAGACTTTGGTATGATTTCCTAGATGGATTCCAAACAAAACCAAGAATCAGTCACAAAATAAATAGGTAAATTATGTGTCTAAGAGAAATGCAGCCTTGCACATTCATACAGACTTTTTTTAAACCTCAGAATAGCAGGTGAGCACTGGAGGGGCATCCCCTCTTCTGGCTGACCACTCTGACCTGTCTTTCTTCTCTCCCAGGTGTAGATGCTGACAAACTTGGTGTGGATGACTACAACTCAGAGTCTGGTGTGCTTATTACACACTCTGCCCTGGACTTTGTCTCAGAAGATGAAACGTTGACACCACTGGGGAGACTGGAAAAGTACACTGCAAGTGAGGATGTACTTAACAGACAAATTGTGGCCCAGAATTTGCTGAACACGTTGAGGGAAGTCAGTGATAATAAAAGACATTGCATTACAGTTTGGGAAATAATTACCCAATTAGCTGATGATCCAGAACCAATTGTGAGAGCAGAGCTGATGGAACAGGTGCCTCAGATTGCATTGTTTTGTCAAGACAACCAGACTTTCATAACAAATGCTTTTTCTAAATACTTACTACCTATTTTGATTAGATATCTCTCAGATCAGAATAATGTAGTGTGGGGAAAAAGTCAGGAAACTTTGATGGCTTTGCTGGAGGAGGAGTTGATTGAAAGATTTGACTTGGAAACCAAGGTGTGCCCTGTGCTTATGGAGCTGACTGCCCCAGACAGTGATGAATTTGTGAAAGCGGAAGTTCTGCCTATTATGTGCAAGATGATTCCCATGGTTGAGGAGTATATTACAAAATGTTTTATCCTCCCCAGATTTTGTGAGATGTGCTGTGATTATGGAATGTTTCATATTCGAAAGGTCTGTGCTGGCAATTTTGGAGACATTTGCAGTGTAGTTGGCCAGCAAGCTACTGAGGAAATGCTGCTGCCCAGGTTTTTCCAGCTGTGTTTGGATAATGAATGGGGAGTCCGCAAGGCTTGTGCTGAATGCTTCACGGCAGTTTCATATGCAACAAGTCAAGAAATCCGATGGGACAAGCTATCAGCAATATTTGTGGACTTGATCAGTGATCCCTCACATCGGGTTCGCCAAGCAGCTTTTCAGTCTCTGGGACCTTTCATATCTACTTTTTTTAATCGATCTAGGTCCGGACAATATTTTGAAGAAGAAAGCAATCCTTCAGAGGATGTGTCAGAAGATAAGTATAGCATAGGAGATCAAGACATCCCTAAGTATGGGCAGATCAGACCAGAGGCTGTTCCTTTGAATCTCGGCATCACTAATTCCAGTTTCAAACTGGGAAACACACTGGAAGATGGTGCTGCTGAAATTTGCCAGAACTGTACAAGTGAAATAAACATTCCAGTGGATAGCTCTTTACTCTGTACTTTGTCCTCTGAATCTAATCAGGAGGCAAGTAGCAATGAGAAGGATGGAAATCTTAATAACAACCAATCTGCACTCCAACCAAAGGTTGGCACCAGTCCACAAGATTACACTCTCTTAGGTAAGAAGTTACCCAATTCACTCAATTTCTGGAAGACTCTTAGTTTTGAAATTGATCTAGCTGAAGAATTTGAACAGGACTCTGGGAAGAGTCTTAGCCCAGAGAGATCAGAAGAAGCACCTGAAGTCACCATGCCAGGTTCTCCAAACATCAACATGACTACAAGGAATGAACTGGAAAAACTGACAGAAAATCTGGAGCCCCACATTGATGGTACAGATGTCAAAGCACAGGTGGAAGAACTGTCAGCTGTGCTGCATGCTTCCAGTTTGGATGCTTATGAGGAGACCTTTCGTATGGAAGAGAGGCATGAGCTGCAAGAAGATGTGGGTATAAATGAGCTACCAAATTCTAATGTAAATCTAGATGATTCTGTCCCTTTAATCAGTGATGCTGATGAGAATAAAGACACCACTGCTCACTATGTCCACAGTGATGCAGATGTGAACACCATCAGTGACTTGAACCCTGAGGAAGAGAGGAGGCCTAAAGTGCAAGATGTTGTACCCCAGGCTTTATTAGATCAGTACTTGTCAATGACAGATCCCTCTCTTGCAGAGATGGTTGATACTGAAATTGTTAAGCATTGTGCCTACAGCCTGCCAGGTGTGGCCCTAACACTTGGAAGGAGGAATTGGCACTGTCTGAGAGAGACTTACAAGATTCTGGCATCAAACACACAGTACGAAGTTCGAAGAACTTTGGCATTCTCGATCCACATGCTTGCAATTATCCTTGGAGATGAGTTGACAGATGCAGATCTGGTTCCAATTTTTAATGGATTTCTAAAAGATGTTGATGAAGTTAGGATTGGTGTTCTTAAACACTTGTATGACTTTCTGCGTCTTCTTCATATTGACAAAAGAAGAGAATATCTTTATGAACTTCAGGAATTTTTAGTGACAGATAACAGTATAAATTGGCGTTTTCGAGCTGAACTGGCTAAGCAACTGATTTTCCTTCTACAATTGTATAGTCCCAGAGATGTTTATGAGTACTTATGTCCCATCGCTCTGCATCTCTGTGCAGACAAAGTTTCTTCTGTTCATTCGGTTTCCTACAAGCTAGTCAGCAAGATTGTGATGAAGCTGCACAGAGAGACACCTGTGACCTTTGGAATAGATTTCCTCAATGAGCTGGTGGAGAATTTTGGGAGATGCCCCAAGTGGTCTGGTCAGCAAGCCTTTGTCTTCATGTGCCAAACTATCATTGAAGATGACTGCCTCCCCATGGACCAGTTTGCTGTGTATCTGATGCCACATTTGCTGACCTTGGTGAATGACAAGATTCCAAATGTTAGAGTGCTACTTGCAAAAACTTTAAGACAAACTCTCCATGAAAAAGAATGCTTCTTAGCCTCTGGCAGCTGTCATCAAGAAGCTGTGGAGCAAGCCATCATGACACTTCAGATGGACCAAGATAGTGATGTCAAGTATTTTGCAAGCAAACATCCTGCCAGTAGCAAAGTCTCTAAAGATGTCATGAGCACAGCTTCCTCAACCTACTAGACAACCTGAACCTTGGGGTTCTTCTGCTTCCATGACAGCTGAGGTTCAATCTCCCCATAAAAGTCTGGAAGAGCTATGGGGGTAGAGGCCTTCTTCCCACTGACTTCTTCCAGGTTCCAGTTACCTACACCCACTACCAGGGCTTTTAAGAGTCAGGAGAAACTTCAGGACTCTTTAGTCATGCTATTAAGGTTGTCAGGGTACATGTTTTCTGATCTAAGTGCAATTTATTAATAAGATGTATAAAGAGAAAGATATATAAACTTTTGATTACTTTCTAGATGTTTATGAATAAATGCAATTTGTGAACAAATGTGAGTTATGACCTGCATGAATGATTTCGTATATAACAGGAAAACTAGATAAGCATACTTGTCTTTAAAAATATAGACTTCAATATTATCCCCATGCCTGCATGAGTGATAATGGATTTAAAAGAGACATATCTTAGAGAGAGTTTTACTTGTCAATTACCCAGTATTAGATAAAAATAGAACATCTCAACAGATGCCAGTGTGCATAGAGGAGAACCAGGCATAAGCTAGATGACCATCTAAGTCTTCAGATGGGAGCCTAGCAAAAGTCCTCATTGTATAATGCACTAACACATCTATGCATTCCAAGCAAGGCAGTGCATTTAAATTTATTTCTCTATTTTATAAACTCCTATGCTTATGCTTGTACACTTGTTTCCTACAGGGCTCCCCAGTCAGTGGTCATGATGCTCAGGGACATGGCTTTTTTTTGTTCACAAAGCTCCACAGAGCCATGCTTACACCAGTGTGTGCACACGGTCATACTGAATTAGAATTGATCACGTAGTCAACATTTTCCAGAATCTGAAAATCTCAAAGGAAATGGAATGAACCACATTGGAGACACTGTGTTCCTTTCACTGGAAATAAGGAAGTCCCCCTTCTTTACCTACCCTCCAAGAGCCCATCTGGGAAGCACAGTTGCTCCCTATATGCAAGACCAACTCATCATGAAGCCAGGGCTTTGAGCCAAAGGAAACAGGAGCAATGACTCCTATCCCCAACTTTGAGTGCCTCCAATAATTTCACACCTCCATACAAGAAGGTCATGACACAGCTATTCTCCATACAGAAGGAGGGTGTAGCATAGGCAGTATTCCAGTACCCATCCAGCATCAGGCTTACAGCAAACTCCTTCTAGGAGGATTTATTTTTTCATTTCTCTGGGGAGATAGTTGTTCTCTGTGTGTCCAGAGCACTTTTGATTCTTAGTTCTGCATGTGCACATCTGTGTGTCTCAGAGTAGCATCTTTTAAAGTCTGGGATCTCATATGTTCTTTCTCCCAGAGTTTCATCCAGGATCCTGGGCCAGAACAGGACATGCCAAAATGACTACATGTCATAGGCATATTGGAATGGAGGGGCTTGAGTAAAGAGTTATGGTATTGAATGGAACCCATTCTTTAAAATGATATTGAGATTCTATTTGAATTCAGATGTAACTCTAACCCATAGGAAGCTTACTTTCAACATCTGCTTCAGGTTGAACTCTATACTAGAGTCTGAAATTTTCACAGTTGTGGACTTTGTAATCTTCCTTCTTTCCATTTTCCCCTGCCATTCCAATATTCTCTCACTGCTGTTCTCTCTGACAGAAATTTACTGTTTATTCGGGAAGTATTTTCACTAGATTCTTTTATTATTAAGTTTTTAATTTCTAATTTAAAATTTTAATGACCCAAACCATTAACCCAAATCATCCCAGGAATGCTTAAAGAGGGTTGGGCTTATATACATTTAAATAGCCTCAGCACATGTTTTCATTGGTCACATAGACAATGTCAACTCTCACATCAAATATGATGCATCACAAAAGGGCCAGCTAAATCCAAAAATATGTTTTTGAAAATACGAGATTCAATGTTTACATTGATCTGGTTCTTATTTACAGAATTTCAGCATGTATAGCTTTGTATCAAGAGACAGAACATTCTCAAATTGCCCGTTGAAGCAACATATAGTATAATTAGGGCAATGTTGTATATAATAAAATCAGAACAACAGAATGGTATACAGCAGTTCAACATGCATCTTTACACGTGTATCAATTCACCATTTGCACATATTGGCATAGAGGAACATCCCCGAGGATTTAGCAAGGTGTCTCTGCTCTCTTCTTTCTCACCTCTTGAATTGGTTGTGGTTTAAAGCCGTGCAGAAAGGGGGCATTGCTGAAAGGATATTTATTCAAAGAGTGTTACAATCTGTCTTTGAGTTAAATGAAGACTTTTTCCCCAAATATTCCTTTCCTCCATCCTTTACTCTTTAATAAATGTAGGGCCTTGTCTAAGTAAACTGACGATACCAAAGAAATATGAAGAGAACATTGCTTGTTGTTACATATTATGTTTAAAAATTTACTCTCCTAGGGAAACAATCTATTCATAACCTAAAGATTTTACATGGAAAACTCATGCTAAAACCTGAAAGTATTAGGTTTATGGGACATGTGTACAATTCCCTAGAGAGATTCCAAATGGAAGCAAGAATCCCTCAAAGAATGAATGATGAGTTCAAGAAAAATGGAGCCTTGCATATTCATACATACTTTTTACTGCCTCCAAATACAGGTCAGCAGAATTTATCCCATGCATACAAGAGTGATAATGGAAATAACAAACAACCCACTGGATTTGAAATTGACCTATGTTCAAAGGAGAGCCACACACCAGTTAGGATTAGACAGAAAATAGAATATCTTAACTGATGTCGATGTGCATAGAGTAGATCCAGGCAGATCCTAGAAGGCCCTAAATAGTTTCAGATGGGAAAAAAACAAAAGTCATCATTGTCCAGCACACTACCAGATCGATGTACTCCAAGCAAGGCAATAAATGTAAGGATTTTTTCCCTCATTGTTTGAATTCCTATCCTTTGAACCTGTTTTATGCATGGCCTAGGATATACTCATCATGCTCAATCAGGAGATGGCCTGGTGATGCAATTCTGTATACCACAGTCAGCACTGTCTGAGAAGCATTCCTATGGGAAGAACCTAACTGATTTTGATCAAACCACTTAGCTTAGCCATCAGCTTACTGTTTTGCAGAATTAGATATATTAACAATGCAAGGCAATTAGACAGTTTCAGAATGTGGGTTATTTATACTACAAATGATTCAGTTTCTCTACTATGCATTGCAACAAAAATGCTATAAAATAGAAATATTGTCAACAGAGGTAAGCTATTTAAACCACTCTATACTATAATCTTCTTCCTTAGATAGATTTAGAGCAGAAGAAAGTTAAAAGGATGTAATTTTTATGAATTCGATATCTCAGTGGAGGCTCTAATACCTGCATGGCCACCATATCCCCAAAGATAGGAAAGGTCTTTGGAAATTCTCTCATGGCTGTTTGTGAGAATGACAATCAGCACACCCCAATTCTGGTTGGTTTATTTTTGTTCTCTGTACTTCTCCTGAGGAGCAAAAAAGTGGGCTAGTGTGTCCATTGTTCTCACTGAACTCCACCCACAAATAGAGAAATCTAAACTTTGGCTTAGAAGTTTGTTAATAATACTCATGGAATAAAAATCTGAGGCATTTCAGAAGTATGTAAGGCAAGCACCACAGGAAAATACTCATCTATTTTGCTGGTTTCAGTCAAGTCCCACATATACGTGATGGACAAATCCAATGGGATCCGTGAATATGAACATCTGAGTCCCCCTCCACTCACATTCACATTCTCCCTGTGTATTAGTTGAAAATATCTTTCAAGGATATTTTTAACTTTGTTTTTTGGATTTCAGTCGTTTAAACATAAAGATTCATCAGCTTGGCATCTACCAATCCTTTAATCCTAACACAATGCATCAAATGAAAGCCATAGGGATTGGATTATATTATTTGAAATTAGTGCCCTAAATTGTCAGTGGACATTTATTGAATGTCCAGTATCCCACAAAGCAGTATACTGGATGCAGAGAATTTTATAGCAGATTCGAATGAGTATATTATGTCAAGCACTTGATAGTGAATACCCCATGTCTTGCATCTTTCACAAAATCCTGTGTGTCAGATATGGTCTCCGTCATTCCAAATTCACAACTGGAATGAAGAAAATCTCTGTAAAGTTATTTACTGTGCTCAAGGCCAGTCAGAAAATCCTCTTTGGTTACCTCCCTCTGACACTTTCACCACCAGAAGCAGAAGACAAGAATAAAAGGAAAGAAAAGGCTGTTGAGAAGGAAATGTAATCAAGAAATTTTCATATAAGGGATGGATTTTGAGCCTGATTTGAAAAGAGTCTTGGAAATACAGGAAGTGGGAATGGGGATGTAGTCACTTACAGGAGAATAAAGAAATGGGAAATGAGTATAGCAATCTCCATTTTGGGGAAAGACATCCACATCAGGGTACAATGAAAAATGAATAGTGGAGTAGGAGAGGGAGACTCAACAGAAGCCTGCAAACAAAAGTTTGAGGTAAAAGCATCCATTCACTGAAAAGAAAAACCTGATCCAGAGTTTAAAGTTTTTCAGGGTATGAACATAGAATGAATTGATGACAGAGCATATATTTAAAGGCACCAAACAAATTTAAAATTAACTTCATTGCTCTTAGCTTTAGGACTATAATCTCTCACTCCCTCATCTGGGCTTTCAAGAAGGGGTCAGGTTCGTTCTCTGTGCTTATGTACAGGAAATACCATGAACTTTCCTTTTCCTTCCTTCTGCAAAGGATATACTTTTCCTTATCAATCAAAAAGGGTCTGTCACAGAAGACATCTTCAGAAATACAAGCAGTATAAAGTTCTGCAGAGGACTAAAGTAGGAACTAAATTCTGGAGTCAGCATGGATATCAATGGGGGAATATGTCTTTTTGGTTGCACAAATATTAGAGTTAGGGAAAGTTCTAGAATCATCCAAGTAGAGCTGCATAACTTAGAAACTGTATGGATGGTTTCCATCATCATCATTACTCAGTAAGAATAGGCAAAATACACTACTGAAAATCTGG